AGCATACCGAGCCGGATTTTACTGGCCAAAGGCGAATGAGATGGCAAAGGAGATAGTGGATAAGTGCGAGGGGTGTCAGTTTTACTCGAATATGTCGCACAAGCCTGCTTCAGCCCTGAAGACCATTCCACTCGTCTGGCCTTTCGCAGTATGGGGGTTGGACATGGTCGGTCCTTTGAGAACAGGGCGAAGTGGCTTCACGCATGTACTGGTGGCAGTCGACAAGTTCACCAAGTGGATTGAGGCTAAACCAATCAAGAACCTTGACGCCGGTACTGCTGTTAGCTTCATCAGGGAACTAATATTCAGATATGGAGTCCCGCACAACATCATTACGGATAATGGGTCGAACTTTGACTCGGAGGAATTCAGAGATTTCTGTAACTCTCAAGGCACACGGGTCGACTACGCTTCAGTCGCCCATCCGCAGTCGAATGGACAAGCAGAGCGAGCCAATGGCCTGATTCTCAAGGGATTGAAACCCCGACTGATGCGTGATCTCAAGCATGCAGCTGGAGCTTGGGTCGACGAACTTCCCTCAGTGCTTTGGGGACTGCGGACCACACCTAATCGGTCGACCGGAAGAACTCCATTCTTCTTGGTCTACGGAGCTGAAGCAGTCTTGCCGAGTGATCTTCTCCACAATGCTCCTCGAGTTGAAATCTACAACGAAGCAGAAGCTGAACAAGCGCGGCAGGACGCAGTCGACCTTTTAGAGGAAGAAAGGGAGATGGCTCTGATCCGGTCGACCATCTACCAACAAGATTTGCGTCATTTCCACGCCAGAAATGTGAGAGGTCGAGCCTTCCAGGAAGGAGATTTGGTTCTCCGAGTGGATCAGCACAAACCACACAAGCTTGCTCCTTCTTGGGAAGGTCCCTTCATCGTCACCAAGGTTCTCCACAACGGGGCGTACCGTCTTTACAACGTCGAGCATAATATCGACGAGCCCCGAGCTTGGAACGCGGAACTACTCCGCCCATTTTACACTTAAGGTTTATCACTCGGATGAGTTGCAATAAAGTACTTCTGTAGTTCATGGACCTCAAAATAATGGTGTCATAGTTCTTCCATAATTTTTGTCACTTTTTATTTTGTCCAATAAAATTCCCCCTCAGTGGGTGACTTAGCCGCGAATCCGTTCCGCCTAAGTTTGTAAAAAAATCCTACCGAGTGAAGAGCAAACCTCTCACTCGGGGGCTTAGCTGCAGCCATGTGCTCACCTAAGTTATCGAAATCCTACCGAGTGGTAAGCCAGACTTCCACTCGGGGGCTTAGCTGCAGCCCTGTGCTCGCCTAAGTTATCGAAATCCTACCGAGTGAAGAGCAAACCTCCCACTCGGGGGCTTAGCTGCAGTCCAAGTACTCGCCTAAGTTGTAAAAATCCTACCGAGTGAAGAGCAAACCTCTCACTCGGGGGCTTAGCTGCAGTCCAATCCGTTAGCTTAGCATATTGATAATGGGATCACATCATTAGGAGAATGATGTGATGGAGAAGACCCATCCGTTAGCTTAGCATATTGATCGTTCAGTTTATTGCTATTTCTTTCTTCATGTCAAATACATATTCCTTCGACTATGAGATTATGCAACTCCCAGATACCGGAGGAATGCCTTGTGTGCTATCAAACATCACAACGTAACTGGGTGATCATAAAGATGCTCTATAGGTATCTCCAAAGGTGTTTGTTGAGTTGGCATAGATCGAGATTAAGATTTGTCACTCCGAGTATCGAAGAGGTATCTCTAGGCCCTCTCGGTAATACACATCATAAGAAGCCTTGCAAGCAAAGTGACTAATGAGTTAGTTACAGGATGATGTATTACGGAACGAGTAAAGAGACTTGCCGGTAATGAGATTGAACTAGGTATGAAGATACCGACGATCGAATCTCGGGCAAGTAACATACCGATGGACAAAGGGAATTACGTATGTTGTCATAACGGTTCGACCGATAAAGATCTTCGTAGAATATGTAGGAACCAATATGGGCATCCAGGTTCCGCTATTGGTTATTGACCAGAGAAGTGTCTCGGTCATGTCTACATATTTCTCGAACCCATAGGGTCCACACACTTAACGTTCATTGACAATATAGTGTTGTATGAGTTATATGATTTGGTTACCGAATGTTGTTCAGAGTCCCGGATGATACCACAGACATGATGACGAGTCTCAAAATGGTCGAGATGTATAGATTGATATATAGTACGCTAGTATTTGGACATCGGAAGTGTTTTAGGACACACCGGGAAGAAACTGGGTCACCTGAAGGGGTTCCGGGCACCCCCCCCCTCCCGAAAGTTATGGGCCTTATGGGCCAATGGAGGGGACAGACCAGCCCACAAGGGGGCTGGTGCACCCCTCCCATGGCTGGACGGCCCTAAGGGGAAGGAAAGGGGAGGGGTGGCCCCTCCCGCCTTTCCCTCCTCAGGAGAGAAAGGAAAGGGGGAGGGGCACTTCCTCCTTCCTTCCACCCACGTTCCAAATAAGGAAAGGGGGGCTTGGGAGAGACCCCAAGTAGGATTCCCCCTACTTGGGTACCCCCTTGGCTGCTCCTCCCTCCCTCCCACCTATATATATGTGGGAGGGGGCGCCTAGCAGATAACAGAACATTGTCTTACCCGTGTGCGATGCCCCCCTCCATCGTTTACACCCCCAGTCATATTTTCGTAGTGCTTAGGCGAAGCCCTACGGAGATAGCTTCACCATCACCATCACCACGCCGTCGTGCTGCCGGAACTCATCCACTACCTCGCCGTCTTGCTGGATCAAGAAGGCAGAGGACGTCACCGAGCTGAACGTGTGGTGAACGCGGAGATGCCGTACGTTTGGTACTTGATCGGTTGGATCACGAAAAAGTTCGACTACGTCAACCGCGTTGTCAAATGCTTCCTCTTACGATCTACGAGGGTACGTAGACACACTCTCCCCCTCTCGTTGCTATGCATCTCCATGGATAGATCTTGCGTGTGCGTAGATTTTTTTCCATGCAATGTTTCCCAACAACTACCCGCAACATTTGACATGTCCTGTTTTCAGCCTTCTCCTCTCTATTAACTCTCTTGAATTTCTTTCCTTTGTTCTGCCAATCACCCTTCTTTCTTCAACTCAGGATCATTCACTCTAGGTTTTTCATTTGTTGTACTACATTCGCTACCACCTTGTCAGCCCCTATCTATTTATTCTGCATATCATTTGCACCCTTGTCCAAACCTACTAAGCCCATCGTGTTCTAATTCTTTTGCTCCTCTCACTTCCCAGTCACTATACACTCAGTCCTCTCCTGCCAGAACATTAAATATTTTGTTGTCCCATTCTTCTCACTCTTGTGCTCCCTTTGTTTGGTTTCATTTGGCTAGTAATCTTCTTATCTCCCCCACTGTTGTTGCTACAACTGTTCATAGTATTAGACTATTAGTATCATATTAATGCCATGACGACGCATCACACTGCCAGATCTCCCTCCTCTGCTACCCATGCTGCTGCCCTACGAACACTACGACCATAGGCTCCTCCCCACCCCTACCAACAGCGAAGCTATCCCTATGGTTGCTACCCCTACCATCACTCATCAACTTGTCGATCTTCATCACTCCCCCCTAAGCCTAATACATGGCTTTTTTTTCTATTTCTCTTTTGCTTCATTGGGCTTGATTGTGCTGTGGCCCCAGCAGTGGTATGTCGAGTGTTGTTGAACTTGGACTCTATGGATCGTTGCTTTATTTATAAAGCGGGGAGAAAACCTATTTCAAGAGAGAGAGCCTAATACATGGCCCATACTGAGGTGTTTCTCCCTTCTTTGGTTTCAGGATGCATCCACAAGCGTAGCAGAAATCCAGTAATGTTCCTACTCGAAATGACACCACAAAAGTTTCTTTTTCTTGCTTTCATCCTCTACAGTTGCCTGCTTGCCCATGTCCTTGTTCTTCTCCCTAGCCAATATGAATCTCCTCACCAACGATTCATTAATATCTAATTTACCTCCATCCTCATATACTTTATCTATCAATGTACCATATGGTCAAACATCCACAGCCACCAACTCATCGAAATTTTGCGCAATGAGCTCACCCGTGGTCATGTTCATGGATCCGAGAGGCAGACCCAAGACCCTAATCCACATCGGAATTATATTGAAGTCATACTCCTCAATTGTCTTATCCGCGTCAAATTTCTCCATTACCAAAAGCTCCTTATCAAACCCCCATGGCCCTTCTTCCAGTGCGCTCCTTCACCCCAACTCCTGCCGAAAAGTGTATAAAAAGATATTATCTACAAGCTCCTTTCATCTCTACCCCTTGATCGACACCATATAGTGTTTGCCCTACCACCGAAGCATGCGTTGGCCGATCCGAGAAAAGTATGCCCGCTGCCTGGGCATCGGGATCCCCAACATCATCTCCTTCCCCGTGTATGTTGTCCCTACCTTCACTCCCCTCCTCTCCCTAGCTGATAACATGAGCCCCTTCATCATGCCTTTGACATCCTCGATGCATCCCCTGCTCTGTTACCCCTCACAAAAACCCTAGGGAAGAGTAGTTGTTGTATGACCGTGTGCCCTAGCTAGTGTACACGAAAGACGTTTGTGGATTGGATTTGAACGGGTGAAAGAGAGGTGCGTGGCGTGATCAACAGGAACGCCTCACATCGTAGACATAGATCAGGGAGCAGGGTGCGCTGGCGGCAATAGAACCCTATGTCCGACCGACAATTACAGAACAATCATCTTTCGGAACGGACCGTGCTATTAATTTTATATGCAACCAATTAATGGCAAGGGCAAAATTACCTTTGAAAATTCTGGGAGATGGTGGCTAAACACATCAAAAGTTTTTTGCGTCAATATGTCCAACTTATTTAGATATACAATTGAGTAAGGATTATATTAGATGCTATGCTCAAATATATAGTACAGATATACAGTAATTGCACGTCTCCGTTTTGAGTACTTTGTGCTTCTCTCAACTGGGATGCACCTTTTCAAGTGCTTCATCGTCTAGCCGCTGATTATATCCTCGTAAATGTTCCTGACCTTAGCGAAGAACGCTTTCCTGCAAAATCCATTGAAATTGTTTGAACGACTAGAGCCCTCCTTATCTAAGAATCTTATAGTAGCATTTTGCAGGTTCGGTACAAAGGCTGTGTTTCAATACCTGTCGGGCTTGAATAGCAGGTTCTTGTACGCAAACCACTGCATGTATTAGAAATTCAGAAGAACGGATCAAAATGGGAAACTCTTAGAAAATTGACAGCGATGGAAGAATGGCAGACTTGTACAGCATGATCAAATTAATGACCAGATTGACCAGTAAATTCAATCTTAGGCACGTTGCAGTTTGCGAATAGCAAAAGTTATCACGGTAAGGTTCTGTTGAGCTGTGGATCTTTCTTACCCCGCTGTAACCAATGCCAACGACCTCCATGAGACCTGGAACCACGGGGAGCCTGTCGATTGCCTGCAAGGTTAACACCAAAATCACCTTCAGCTACCCCATCAACTCGGTGATTTTTTAAACAACTTGTTCGACAAACAGTTGAGGTAAGCGTCTTCAGTACCGATACTACTCCGCCGGCGCTCCACATGCCGAGCGTGGCGGCGACGGCGAGCGTGGTCACCGCGTACTTGTCCTCCACTCTGTCCCACTGCGGCGCAACCGCGCAACTAGGTGTCAGTCACTCGCTCCATAACTAATGAACTCCAACGTGCCACGTACGTACCTCTTGTTTCAAGCCGTTGAAGAACTCTGTAAGCTCGGCGTTGTCGGCCAGCGGCGCGGCCGGCTCACCGGCGGCCATTGACACCACGTTCCTCGCGAGCCTTTTACCTGGAAAACAACTCTTCTTAGATCCACGCCCCATGCCGCTGCACGCACGCGCAAGTTCTCAAAGCCACACTCACAGAAGGAGGCGACGCGGGGCTGGCCGTGGGACGCGAGGCCGGGCAGCGGCGGCAGCGCGGGGAGCCCGAGCCCGACGGAGCGCGCGGCCTTCCCGAGGTCGCTCGCGATCGGCGAGGGGACGGCGCCCGTGGCTGGGGAGGCGACGGTCGGGGCCATGGAGATCGATGCCTTCGGTCAGTGTACGCCTCACCACCACCACCACTTGCGCGTTAAGCGCGTTGGTCGGATGCTAATAACGACCGCGAGGTCGTCGGGACGGCGTCCTGCGGGAGGTTAGGGACGGCCGGGTTCAGGCGCGCAAAGATAAAGTGGGGATGCGTGAGATGGGCGCCACACGATTGCGCGCGGAAGAACGATAAGATGGGGTTTGGGGTGGGCTCTGTATGGCCTGGATGTTTCCGTCTGCGGTATCGGGAGTTTCTGGTGTTTATCGTCCGAAGACGCCCGATGGGGGGCTCACGGAGGCCCTGACGACTGATTTTTTCTTCTTCTTAAGCTGGTTTGTCGGATGGCTTTCAGAGGGAGCTCCTAGTTGGCGCTTCAGGCGCCAGCTAAGGGAGCTGGCGCTCACAGCCGCCGAATCGTGGGCCGGCCCATGTGGCGACCACGGCTAAACTCGCCTCGCCTGGTCGCTCGCTGGATCGAGAGCCTCGAGGGCTGTTCGTACGATCGCGGTTGACCAGTTGACTGATTGGTTAACCGTTGACTATAAAAAAAAGATGAAAACGAAAACCGAGAAAAATCATAAAAAAAGAAAAAAATCGAGATTTCAAAAAAGTTCACAGATTTGGAAACCTTCATTCATTTTTTCAGATCATCAAATTTGAAAAAAGTTCACAGAAATTGAAAAAAGTTCATCAAATTGGGAAAGAGTTCATCGATTTTGAAATAAGTTCACCGAATTTTAAAAAAGCTCATCCATTTTTAAAAAAAGTACATCGGTTTTGAAAAACAGTCCATCAATTTTGAAAAAGAGTTCATCCATTTTGAAAAAAAGTTCACGGATTGTGAAAAGATTTCATCGGTTTTGAAAAAGAGTTCATCAATTTTGAAATAAGTTCACCGAATTTTAAAAAACGTTCATCGATTTTGAAAAACAATTCATCGATTTTGAAAAACAGTTCATCGATTTTGAAAAAAGAGTTCATTAATTTAGAAAAAATGTTCATCAATTTAGAAAAAAAGTTCATCGATTTTAAAAAAGAGTTCATCGATTTTGAAAAAGAGTTCATCGATTGTGAAAGAAAGTTCACCGATTTTTAAAAAAATAGTTCTTTCAAATTAGCAAAATAAATATAAAACCGTTCCGAAAAGAAGAAAAAATAAAAATAAAAAAACATAACAAAACCGTTTCTAATAAAAGGGAAAAAGAATAGGAAAAAGGAATCGTTGTAAGAAGAAAAGGTGAAGAAGCAGTAGTTTGGGCAACTAATACGAGTTAGTGCGGTGGTTAGTGCAGGAGGCTAACGACCGTCAGGTCGCGGTATCGATTCCCATCCAAAGCGCACATTTTTTGTCCTCATGACAGGAAGGAAAGATGGGCCAGGCCCTGTTACCGCGGCTGCAGGCGCCGGTTTGCGGAAACAACTATAACCGGCGCCTGCCGCGCTAAATAGGAAATGCCGCTTTCAGATGACATATCTATGAAACTTTGGGCCTGTTCGGAGTCCCTTCGCTCCATACGACTTCACTCCAGGAGCAGCCGGAGGTGCAGTTTAGCGAGGAAATTGATACTCCATGGATTCTGTGATTTTTGGAGCGGATGGGTTTCCGAACAGCCCCTTTATTGTTGGATTGTTATAGAAGTTTTTTTTAAAACTCCACCATATATTAATTAATTTAAACAGTTTTGCTCAAGCACATCTGAAAGTGCGTTATATCGACTAGAGGGGGGGGTGAATAGGCGATTTTTATGGAAGTCTTCAAAACGTGGAAGTTTCGAAGACAAACGATAGAAATAAACCTATTATCATGCAGCGGAAGGTAGACTACACTAGGCAAACCATAGTCAAGTATTCAATGAAGTGAAAGCACAATGACTAATAGCAGCTAGGTAGTAAGGATCAGGTAGGAAGATATTATGAAGCCGATCAGAACAAACAGTCACTCAGTGAAGACAGAAGATAGTGCAATCATACAATGACTTCACAAGGACCAACAGTAAGTAAAGGGAAGGGAAGGATGAAACCAATGACTCGTTGAAGACAATGATTTGTTGGACCAGTTCCAGTTGCTGTGACAACTGTATGTCTGGTTAGGGCGGCTAGGTATTTAAACCTGAGGACACACAGTCCCGGACTCCCAGTCCTGAACACGCAGCTCAGGACACCCAGTCCTCACCGTATTCCCCTTGAGCTAAGGTCACACAGACCTCGCCCAATCGCTCTGGTAAGTCTTCAAGGTAGACTCCCAAACCTTCACAGACTTCGTTCACCGGCGATCCACATTGTCTCTTGGATGCTCAGAACGCGACGCCTAACCGGCTGGAGGATTCACAGTCCTTAAGTGTAATAAGTCTTCAGATCACACAGACAAGAAGACTTAAGTGATGCCTAACACTCTTTGGCTCTAGGTGGTTAGGGATTTATCCTCGCAAGGAATTCTCTCTCAAAGGCTTCGAGGTGGGTTGCTCTCAAATGACAAAAGTCGTACTCTAACTCTGAGCAGCCAACCGTTTATGGTTTTAGGGGGTGGGCTATTTATAGCCACTAGGCAACCTGACCTGATTTGTCCAAAATGACCCTGGGTCACTAAGGAACTGACACGTGTTCCAATGGTCAGATTTCAAACACACACGGCAACTCTACTTGGGCTACAAGCAAAGCTGACTTGTCCGACTCTGGACAAGATTCACTCTCATTGTCTTCACTCGAAGACATAGGTTTTGGTTAAGCATCACTTCAGTCATTCTGACTGGTTCTCTTGGACCCCACTTAACAGTACGGTGGTTCCTATGACTCAATAACGAAGAAAAAGGAACTACGAAAGATCTGAGTCTTCGAGCTCCATAGGCTTCATGCGATGTCTTCTCCTATCATAGTCTTCATTGAGAATATCTTCATATACCACCTTTGATATCAATGTCTTCATACATTTTTAGGGGTCATCTCTGGTAGGAAAACCGAATCAATGAGGGACTTCTACCTGTGTTATCCTGCAATTCTCACAAACACATTAGTCCCTCAACTAGGTTTGTCGTCAATGCTCCAAAACCAACTAGGGGTGGCACTAGATGCACTTACAATCTCCCCCTTTTTGGTGATTGATGACAAACTAGTTGAAGTTTTCAATGGGGAATATAATATGTGAAATTGTAAAGGATAAGGAATTGTCTTCATTAGTTGTAAGGGCTCCCCCTGAAGATGTGCATATAGGTAATTTGCTTTTGGAATGCAAATGCACATGGCAGGTTGTACTCGTGGAGATCCTCTTCAACTTATGATGACAATTCATTATGCATGAGAAGGTATGTGAAGATAATGACAAGCATAATGGAAAATGGACGTCTGCAAAATGATCTAAGTGCGGAATTTATCGTCGCACATGCGGAATTTATCGTCGCATCACAAAGTAGCAAATAAGTAGCAGACGACCATCGAGTTTAGGTGTTACAACTCAAAGAACCAACTGTATCAAAACGAGAGTTGTAAACACGAGGCAAAATATAAAGCAACCGCCCATGTGGACCCGCTTGAAGACTATCAAACTCATATGCTTCTCCCCCTTTTGTCAGTAAGGACCAAAAAGGTTTGAAGACATAGAGCATCTACTCGTTCCCTTGAAGAGTAGGTGAAGCAGCAGGGTCGTCGGTGGTGTTCGGCGGTGCAGAAGAACTTGGAGCAGTGTCGAAGCATGCTGAAGGAGGTGGCGGTGAAGTAGCATCGTCTTCATCCTCGATCACTCTGGCATTCACAGTTGCAGCAGAGGAAGAGAACTCAGAGTCTTCAAGAGATGGAGTTCGTCGCAGCACTACCCTTCGAGGAGGTGTGGAGTCAAACTTGAAGCGTTCAGAGAAGCCATCCTCTTGAAGATCATCTTCAGAGCACATAAGTGTCAGCCCTTTCCATGTGCGTCGAGAGGTTTCATGGGCAACAAAGGCATTCTTGGTGGCAAGATTGCGAATGCGGTTGACATCCACCAAGAGGCTTTGCATTTGGCGCTTTGGCCAGTCATGATGCCTATCCTGTTTCTAATGAAGAGCCACAAGAAGCTCTCGGTCGTTGAGAACACGAGACCGCTTCTTGGGTCGTTGCCCAATAGTGCTTTTGGTGGCTTCAGTAAGGGCACGATGAGGTGCACGTGTAGTTCCAGCCAGAGGATAAACACGGGTGACTGCTTCAACTCCTTCAATGTTCTGAGAGAAACTTTGATGCTCTGCATTCTGAAGACTAAGAGGCTCCTTGGCAGGCTCAAGATAAATGGCTTCAACGGACATATCCACATCAGGCAGAAAGATCCGATGATTGTGAGCAGATGGCTGATATGAGATAGCGGGGTGGAGTTTAATCAGCCGCATTATCCATGGAGCGTAGAACTTCAAGCCAAAAAGATCAGAGCCTGATGCAGCAAGTTGGCGGATGAAGAAGTCCTGTGCATTGAAGCATTTGCCATGAAGAATATAGAAGACCAAAGTCTTCATTGCACCTTCCAGCTTGGCATGTGGAGAATGTCCTTTGATGGGACAGAGAGTTCGCCTTATGATGTGATAAATAGTCCTTGGCAGATACTCAAGGTCTTCAACAAGGAACTCCTTAGGATATGCAGCATCTTGTGGCAATGGCTTCATCATACTGAGCATCTGACTCATGTTTGGTTCAGGCTTCTGAAAGATGCTCTCCATAGCTTCACTGTGATGCTGACAGCTAGGTTCGTAGAGATCACCAGGAGTGGGCAGACCAGTGAGCTCAATGATATCAAAGGCTTTGGCTTCATGATGAACATTTCATGTCATCCACTCCAGGACCCAAGTCTTCGGATCTCTGTTGTACCCACGGATGTGAAGTGTGGCATAGAATTGGAGCAGCAACTCTTCATTCTAGTGCTCTTGGTTGGTGACAAACGGCAACAATCCAACCTCTTTGAAGCAATCCAGAGCTTCTTCCAGACAGGGCAGACCAGCTATTGCTTCAATGTCAAGACGCTTATGTGGGAAGATG